GCAGAGCTTGTTCACTCTCGTTTCGCTATGCTCGGTGTTGCAGGAATACTCTTCACTGATGTAAGAACTAATCTTTATCATTTACTCAATTTTGAAATGTTGGAATGTCTCAAAATATAGCTAACTTAGAGCTTTGTTTTGGTTGCATTAGCTGCTTCGGACCACAGGGATTCGTAATTTACCGGTTTGGTATGAAGCTGGAGCTGTCAAATTTGATTTTGCTAGCACAAAAACACTTATAGTTGTACAGTTTCTACTTATGGGGTAATTAATCAAACTCATTTTCTCTTTATATCTAATCTTTATTGTTAACCCACAAAAGCTTAGAATGGTTCTCTTTTGTTTTCTTCACAGGTTTGCAGAGACTAAAAGGTATGTGGATTATGTCTCTCCGGGCTCTCAAGCCAAAGAAGGATCTTTTTTCTTTGGAATTGAAGCAGCACTCGAGGGACTCGAGCCTGGATATCCCGGAGGACCGCTTTTAAACCCATTAGGCCTTGCTAAGGATATTAAAAACGCTCATGACTGGAAGCTTAAGGAGATCAAGAACGGTACTAGATCATTATTTTGCTACTTTCTTCATAAAAAATCTGAGCATAGTGACATTGATTGGTGTTTAAACAGGTCGTCTAGCGATGATGGCGATGCTCGGGTTCTTTGTTCAAGCCTCTGTGACTCACACTGGCCCTATCGATAACCTTGTCGAGCATCTCTCTAATCCATGGCATAAGACCATCATTCAAACCCTCTTCACCTCTACTTCTTAGGTACAGTCTTTTGTAACGAAAATTCGATTATTCGACAAGTGTATCAATACCTTTATTTCATTTAAGAGTACAACAAATCTATTCTAACCAACAAACTTAAAAGTTCACTGTTCTCTCTCAATTCAGATACTCTGTTTTCCATTTCCATAATGACATACATACCGAATATGTCGAAAAAAGGACAATAAAACCTACCTGTAAGAAACTCACTTGTTGGACGACTTCTTCCTTGACAAGAACATGAAGACCTTTGGCAGCAAAGAAAATCTCTTCTTTTTCTTTTTAGTTTCAGGGGTCACATTACTACTGCTTGCTTGCTCACCAAATGCAAATGATGTTGGTTTATGTAAAGCCGATTTGGACTTGCTTAAGTTCTCCTTATTTCCTCCCTCGGGGCTTCTATTCCCGTTATCCGACCTCCATTTTCGCAACTCGTGATCCATACCAACCTTCCCATCTCTAGCTTTCTCAACTTTTGTCATTGCTTCTTTTAGCTCTACCTTTCTTATTTCTGTTTCTCTACTCACTTCCTCTAGATTTTCCAAGATTCTTGATTCCTCTTCCTTAGCCATCTCGATTTTGGAGACGATCTCCGCTAGTTTTCTATTGGCTGCCTCTTCTACCTCATGTGCTTGCTTGCTTAGCTCATAATATTCCTCCACTGAAATTATTATGCTTCTTGGTGAACTACTAATGTCTTCGATTTTGTTAGCATATTCGGTCTCTTGTAATGCTTTTATCGCAGCTAAGGCCAACTTCTCAGAAGCTCTAGAAGCTTCCATTTCCTTTTTCGCCTCCATTAACTGTCTTTCTATCGCAGAGAGTCCTGTTTTCGCTTCATCCGACTCTTCCTTCGCCTTTCTCAGCTCCTCTCGAGCAGCTATGGCAAGTGACTTTGCCTCCTCTGCCTCCCTGCTAGCTTCTTGCAACTTCTTGGCTATCTCTGTGCATTTATCCACTCTTGTTTCTTCTCTGTTTCTCTGTTTGGTTTCCGATAAATCTTGCTTCTCTCTCGCAAGTTCCGACTGCAATGATCCGACAATTATCTTCAAAGTTTTCACCTCGGAATTTGCTTTCTCAATGTTGGATATAACTTCTTCAAGCTCCTTCCTCGCGGAATCAACCGCTGCTTGTATGACACTGTTGTTTCTCTTTCCCACGTTTGAGTCTTTGTAAGCGGCTATTTCGGCCCTTAAATCTTGTTGAAGTGCAGAAGCAGTCTTTAGTTTGGTTTTCACATCATCTGCCGCATCAATGTCTTGTCTAAACCTCTTAATCTCTTCTTCCACCATTTTAAGTTCCTTCTCCTGGTTATAAACGTCCTGGTCTCGAGCCATGGCTGCATCGAGTTTCTTTTCTTGAGCTTCGAGATGAGTCGCATGAGCTGACTCCAATAACTGCTTGGTTGCAATGACCTCTATCGTTAAACCCTCCATTTGTTTCTCTACATCTTTAGCTTTCAAAACAGAATCCTCTGCTTTTTTCGCAGCCAAATCTTTCTCCCTCAAAACAGACTCATACTCATTGGACACCATTTCTATCTCTTCTCTTATGGTTCCTAGCTCAGAAACCGCTGACAAATGCCTCGCTTTAGCTACCTCAAGCTGTGTTTTCGCTGCGACACTCGCTTCATCTGCTATCCCTTGCTCCATTTCCTCCACTCGCAGCTTCGCGAGATCAGAATCTTGTTTCGCTTGTTGCTCTTCTTTTTCAGCCTTCTCTAGCTCCAGTTTAAGCTCTTCGACGACATTCCTTGTCCTCTCAAGCTCCATCACCACATGATGCTTCGCCTCTTCCGCTACAACTGCTTGTTTCTTATACTCAGGCATATCTTCTTGTATCTTCTCAAGCTCTTGATCCACCGTCTTCCGTCTCTGGAGACAATAATAAAACACAAGACTAAGAACCAGACCGGCCTGACTAAGAATGACATAATGTAGCAAAAACTTTTTTGGTACCTCTATTGTCTGGATTTTATGTGCTTTCCAATCTGTGATCCCACCAAACTTTGAAACCGCTTCCTTGACCGATTCAAATGGTGCAGCGGTATCGATCAAAACAGGACTAGTAGGTGACCCGAAACGTGGGGATGCAGATGATCTCGGATGAACAAAAGCTCTTGGTGAGCCAGGAACTTTAAGACGTGAAAGACCAACATCTTGAATTCCTCCAGGTGAGCCAGGTAATATCCTTGCATCTTCGATAAATTCATCGATTCTCGAGTCTAATGAAAACGAGTCTTGATGGTTAATCACAACTCTTGGTGCAATATACACCTTTGGAGACTCTTCTGCTTCAACAACAAAATGTGAATCTTCTTCTTCATGTCCATAAAAAGAATCAAAAAACGGATTATGTTCCGGTATAAGATTTGGTGTATCTCCACCAGTTTCTAAGTTTAGGAGATCACTAATGGATGCATCGAATTCGATACTAGAGAAAGGCGTCGAGGAATCGACATTGAGATCAGGAAGTAAACAAAGGTCATTGGAAACTTTATCATCAGCCATCATTGTCACAGATTCTCACAAATACAACTGCAATTAAAAATCATTAACGTTTCTTATAATCAGAATCATTAGATTTAAACAAGATTATATTCTTGATCATCACATTAGCTAAATCGAAAATTTTAAGATTAATGTGGTACCTTCATAAAAATATGCAACAAAATGCGAGACGGGACAAATCTTCTGGGAGATTTGAAGAGATGCACTAATCTTTAGAGAGATCAGATCACACCAACGTACGTTGTTGACATGTTGTCTTAAAATGGAGATGAACAATGAGAAGAAAGTATTCAAAAACGAGACAGAAGAGAAAAGATTTGAAAATTAGAAAAAAAGAATAACGGAGATTAACCACTAGGGCGTGGAGGCCACGCCTCTCGTTCTCATCATCTGTTTGGTTTTTACTTATTTTGTTTATATAATTAATGTCGAATTTAGTCTAGAAATGCAAAATATGAAAATTTACATTTGAATGTTCATAATTTGATTAGTTACCATAATTTTCAGTCAAAATTATTTATTTATAGTTGACCAAAAAAAACAAAATGCAGTCAAATTGAAGAAAACAGTCAATTTGCCATATATCAATAGATCCAAAACTTATTAAGGATGTCTCAAATTAAATTCAGTATTTGGAAGATAAAATCGAAAAACATTATTTACATACACAGACATTTTGTGTTGGTTATTGGTTGTTGACAAGACAAAAAAAAAAGAATTGAGGATTTTCTCATTCGCAATGTTCTAAAAAGCGGTCTACACAATCACATAGGTTTCGAGTAGGCATTAGGTGCTCAAGGTACGTGTAGATGACCGCCTAAAGTCGTTTTAATGTATTTTTCAAATTTCCAGCTACATGCATTTAAATTTATAAGTTTTATCTTTGCATACATGGGTTAGAAACGTTCATATGTTGTTTGATATTAATTAAATAAAACATTTTGATTAGGATTTAATATTTTAATTTTTCTATAGATATTCTAATCTATTTTTTTTATCTATAATATCATATTTATACTTTTTTTTAAACGCCCAAACTGCCTAAAATTGTCTAGGTCCCGATTAGATATTTTTTTGTGTTAGGTGCAGATTCACCATTGGCTTAGCGCCCAACTCTTTTCTTGAACATTGCTGATTAGTAACTAGACTTATAAAACCTTAGCGAGGTTTGAAATTGAATAGTGAAGAACAAAACTCTGCGTTTAATTGATTATAGGAAACGCTGCGCACTTGCTGATAACACAAAACGATGTGTTAGTTCGCACCGTCTCTTTTTTTTTTCTCGACGAATCTTCTCATGTTCTCTTACGTTCACTATTCAAGGATTTGATTCTGTCAGTTACTTGTTTTTTTTTTTGACACAAAAGATTTCTTTATATTCAAAGCTGCTCAAGTTAAAGCCTAGAAAAACAAAGCAAAACGAATCTAATTGCTGCCTTAATCTATGTTCTTCTTCTCCTCCTTAGCATTCTTTTTCTTCTCCTTCTCCTTCTTCTTCTTCTCCTTCTCCTTCTTCTTCTTTCTCATCTTCCTCTTATGCTCATTCTTACGCTTCTTTTTCGCCAGAACCTCAACAAACCATTTACGTTTCCTCCCAATAGAATTAAGGTCATCTGACACATAAGAGAGAAAATCCCCCCATTCCCAAAATAGATCTTTGAGCTGCATTATCTCAACAGAACACTTCTCTTCTTTACCCTTAACCAGTAAAATTGTGTGCCCTTCAGCTTTCAAACTCTTCATGATATCCTTGAATCCATTGTAATCTTTCGCCTAGAGGCTTCCCAGTGGCCTTTCCAACACCCGCCTCACATTTTTCTCTTTCAGCATCATCAGCAGTATTTATCTGAGACATTTCGGCACCATTACTCGTCTCTTGCCTATCAAGAGCATATAACATAATATATGCCTTGGCATCCAACACAGCCTTCTCACTAACTTTGAAAACCCTATAGTCATCAAGGCAATACCATGCACTTGAAGTGCGAACATAGTAGTAGTAATGACCCGAACTGATCAATTCACCCACATGAACTATCACACCGTATAGAGTGTACTTCAAATCACCTTCACAGAGACTAGGAAAAAGATTTCATGTCAAGCTCAGAGGCAAAATCCACTTTCTTGTCGGTTACTTGTTTAAAAAATCATTTTGTTTTTATTTTATTTTATGCTCACTATCTGCTTTTACTTAGTTTATGAAACATCATTGACTTTATCTTCCTCTTCATCTTCATAATGAAAATATTATACAAAAAAATTAATCCTTCATGGTTTTTTTCTTGAAATACAACAAGTGATGATAAATAAAATTATACAACAACTTCATTTAACAGAACAACAATTACTCAAGGGAGTGTGATCAATGAGTGAGCTAACATGTTCTGGTGCGCCCGTGCCTTCTTCGGCCAAAAGTATCAATGAACCACGCATCTTGTATGAAGCCACTATGTATCCCATCGTCAAACCAAATACAACTCCAGGTGCAAAGCCTAAACCTAAACATGCTACTATCCAACTAAACCATTCCTTTTCTTCTTTTTTTTTCTCAATCAGGCAGTTCGGGTTGTGGCGGTGTAGGCGCATGGATATCTTCACAAACATCCTTAAGAGAAATTCCGTAAAGTCCGGGGTTTCTTTGTAGGAGGAGCAATTTTGTCATTGAAACTGTGTACCTTGTGGTATGGGACCTACCAAATGATTATATGAAACATTTATCCACTCAAGAGAAGAGAGACTCCTGATATCCGGAGGAATCTCACCACTAATCTTGTTTTGCGATAGGTCTAGTGACTTGAGATTCGTCAGGTTTGCCAAAGAAGATGGGATATGGCCCGTCAAAGCATTGTTTGAAAGATTGAGAACATGAAGTTCTTTCAATATACTAATGGATTCTAGAATTTGTCTTTGGATCTGATTTCCAGCAAAATCGATGATTGTGTATTGTGTGAGGATGCGTTGCATCTCCATTGATACTCATTTGTGTGAGGATGCGTTGCATCTCCATTGATACTCGTTTATTCATCAAGACAAGTGAAGTGTAGTAGCCATAGTCTTTAGCATCTCCAATATAGTGCAATTATGTATCACTCTTCTAGATTGCAGTCCAATTAATGAAGTAATCAAATCGAAACATACCGAAAAAGTCATTGTGTGATACATTAGTGATTCACAACAGAGGAAATCCAAACCAAATCCCATCATTGTTGTGTAACCTGCCATGAAAGTTATTATAGCGGAGGAAAAGAACTTGAAGCCTCGACAAAGAATGCAACCAGAACTGGAAAGTATCGTTGATTTTGTTGCTTTCCACGTTTAAATTTTCTAGAGCAAAGCAAGCCGTAAAAGAAGCATGATGTTTCCCCTCTAGTGTGTTGTGACTGACATCAAGCGAACTTAACACCTTGGCGTTCATAAATATATTAGGAAGACTTCCATTGAGGCTATTGTTACGGAGATTCAGAACTGAAAGAGAAACTCATCTGAGTCTCTAAACACCAAGGAATCAAGCCGTGGAGATTGTTCTTTGATAAATCTAGGATAGTGGATTGGCTAGTCCACATATTGATTGAGGTTTATCTCCGATGAAGTTATTGTCAGCGCCAAGAAAATATTTGATGAATCAGGGTGGCATGAAGAGTGGTCCCTGAAAAGCATTTGAACTTAGATCTAACATCATGATCTTACTTCCATTTAAATCTTTTAGATCTCTTGAAACCAAATGAGAGAGTTGTTAGAAAGATCCACAGTAGATAACTCTGGTAGTCTCCATAACCAGTATGGTACTTGACCTTTGATTTTGTTGTTGGAAAGGTCTATAGAATATAGATTTCTTTGGTTTCTTATAAACTCAGGGAACTCAATGATGTTGCAGCCCGACAATTCCAAGTATCTGAAATGCGATGAAAACTCTTGAGTCATAAGTGGTGTTTGATGTTGAAAGAGGGATTCCTAAGAGAGATAATGAGACTAGACGCTTAAGAGACTTAAAGACATCTAATTCAACTTGACTGACTTTGAAATTGTTGTTGTCAAGAAACAATCTTTATAGATTATGTAACAAAGAGATATTCTTTATATTGGTGATGTCGCTGAGTTGGTTATAATTCAAACCAAGGGTGGTCAATGAAAAAATCTTGAATAAAGATGAAGGAATGGATCCTATAAAAGAATTATCACATATAGAAAAGAACTCCAATTTGGAGAGTTGGCTAATGGTAGCTGGAAGGAAACCAGTGAAATGATTGGAATAAATATCGATATAATGTAGTTAGATCAAATTGAGCAGAGAAGACGGAAATTTTATGTTGAGATTATTATCACAAACATCGAAATGGGTCAACTGTTTTAGATTACCAAATGAAGACGGGATTTCGCCAACAAACTTGTTTAAAGAAAGAACAAGATATGAGAGATGAGAAAGGTTCCCAAGTGAAGATGGAATCCTCTCGGAGAAAGTAGATTGTTGAAGTTTTAAAGAAGTCAAATATTTGAGGTAGTTGATAGAGTCAGTTTTAAAAAATCAAATCAAAGAAGAAAATTTTAGTTTTTATTGTTCTTATAATGTTGGGAAATTGCAATTATGGTAATTTTCGGGAGTGGGTGTACAAGCGGTTCGATGAAGTGACGGAAAAAATTTCAGCAGAGTTCAAAGCGGAAGTGCAGCAATTCATGATATTTTCATATAGTCATCCTATCGTATGGGCTAATGGCAGCGAGTTTTTATGCCCTTGTAGCGTTTGTAAGAAAGATAAACATATCTCGGGTAGAAGAGAGAGTTTTGATCATCTGTTAAGTCAATATGGATTTAGAAACGAGTTACATTGATAGGACGTATATAAGTGGGAGTCATGAAGAAGTGGGTAATGAGTAGAAGATCCATATGTGGATATGGTGAATGATTCATTTCGTTATAATGTGGGTTTCGATGATAATTATCATCAAAATGGTAGTTATCAGAATGTGGATACCGGTACATAACCATTCAAAGAAATTATATGACTTGTTAGAAGGTGAAAAAATCCATTCTACGATGGTTGTCGTGAAGGTCACTAGCAGTTATCTTTAGCTGTTTGAGTCATGCAAAATAAGGCGGAGTATAATATGACTAAAAAGTTAGTGGATTCGATTTGCCAAATGCTGACAGATTATTTACCACAAGGAAACCAATCTACCGGTTCACATTACGAGACAGAAAAGTTGATGCACAATTTAGGCATCTCATATCATACAATTGATATTTGTATTTACAATTGTATGCTAGTCTCGAAAGAAGACGAAAAAGAAGATAAATGTCTATTTTGTGGTGCAAAAAGATGGAAGACTAAGGACTACCGATGGAGAACAAAAACACCATAAAGTCGTATGTGGTATCTACATATTGCTGACGGATTGAAGAGAATGTATCAGAGATAGAAGACTGTAGCGGCAATGAGAAGGCATACCAAGCACCAATTTGCAGAACTCCTAAACCGCAACGTCCATCTTGTGTTATCATGTACTAGCAATTACTTATTCTATACGACACGTAAATATGGTTTTCGTATTTTATATCAGTAACCTGAGATGATGCAATTTGAATATGTTTTGCAAAGGTTGGAGCATTTTTTAGGAACTTATATTCGAGAACTTTGCAGAAAAGTCGCGTTCAAATTCTAAAACAGAACATAGTTTTAATCATATGCAACTTGGAAAAGATCTTTCCACCATTATTTTTTGATGTGATGGAGCACCTGCCTATACATCTTCCATACGAAGTTGAATTGGGAGGTTTTGTTCAATATAGGTGGATGTAGCCGTTTGAAAGGTTTTTGAAAAAGTTAAAAAATAAAAAAATAGCAAAAAACAAAAGATATGCGGCAGGATCAATTGTTGAATCATATATCAATGACAAGATTTCTTATTTCTCAGAACATAAAACAAATTTAGCGCATAGACATCACAAAATTTGCAATATCAATTTCTAGCTATAGATATTATATTAATACAAAAGTATTTTTGAGAAGTTTTGTCGTATAATTACCACCCGTTTGCAACATTAAATTATCGTAAATCATACCTACGCAGAACATAGAACAAATTCCTTTGAAATTTTGCGATAGCTATTTTGCAAGATACTTTCGTTACAAAGATTTTGTTTCCATCAAAAATGCATAATGTTTTATAAATATTTTTGTAACTAATCTGTTTTCATTATTATGATAATTTTAGATTATGATGACTCGTCCGATGTGCTGGTTTTAAATTTTTAAATAAAATTAAATTTAACAAAAAGATATATGAAATTTTGTTATAAATAGAGAAAATCTTTAGGAAGTAAATATAGAATTTTTTAGTTAGAGAAAATATTTATTTATATATTCTTTTTTACCTTAGTGTACTAATTTTAATTTTTCTATTTAAAATTTATTATATGATTTATTACAATAATCTAGTAAAGTTAAATTCTCAATCACCAAAACTTTTGTCACATATTCATCATTCCTATAATTGCCTAATCTCAAAAAACATATTTTTGTAATCTTGCCTAAAATATGATTTCATTACTTCTTTTGAAAATGTTTTACATGCAAAGCACCGGTCAAACTGTTATCTTATTTACATTCATTTACAAATCAACCATCTACTTTACCACTAAAATGTGTTTTTACACCAAATCATTTTTTACTATTGGAATATGCTCTTTACCACCACATTCAAATCTTTATGAACACATTAAGCCAACTATATGTTTTGTTTTTAACGTCTAAGTGTATGTCTCTTTACTTTGACTTTTCTATAATTTTTTAACTAGTAAATTTGTTGACTCAAAAAAATTTCAAATGAAAAATATATCACATAACAATAACTGATGATATATTTATAAGAAAACTAAAATAATGAAACACTACTTGATTGCAATGGCCAATGATCAGTCTATGACCAACTAATAAAGGTTGAGTAATTAAAAGAAAAATAGTTTGACATTATTAAAATAAAAAATAGAAATATATAAACACGATGAGATATGATTCTTAAATGATTCAAAGATGTAAATAAAACTTAAAATAAACAATCTAAAAATCCTACAGCAAAATTAAAATATTAGAAAAATAAGTAGACATATTGATCTTTCATATATCTAACCTAAAAAAGAAATTCAAAAACAATATAAAAACTTATTTTAAATCATCACATATGTCTAATTAGAAAATAAAATTACAATAAATAATGTCAAAATTTTAATTAAATCATGACACATGTGGTAATCTAAAGCTTATTAGCACTATAATATATGATAAAGCTTATATAATTCAAAACTGAAAGTAGAATATCAAAATAAATAATCTAAAACTACAAAAATTAAATTAAAAATATAATATAATTTCTTTGGGAAAATGATAGGTAGCTACACAAAATATAGGCCATGGCATGGTCTCACATGGAGACATATAATAATGTCTTAAAAACTACACGAACAATTTTTAAATCAGTACCAATTTACATAAGACATGTGCACAACATTATAACCATACATTCTGACACTAATTTCGTCTAACGAACTATGATTTCCGGTATCGGTCGATTCAAAAAATACTTAGTGTAATTTTCTTTGATAAAAATCTTAAATAATAAAATTGTAAAATAAACTCAAAAAATACGAAAGAAAAAATTTGTAAAATACTCAACTAAAAATGAACAAAGGGAAGAAATAACTAAAAAACAGAATCAGGATTATGTTCAAAAATTATACACACGTAATTATACACATATAAATCTTCGATAATTTAACGCATGTATAAGTTAATATATGTCACAACATTATTTTGAAAATGTATTTTGATTTATCTTTAGTTCAGTTTATTTTATTATACTTTTGAATAAAATGTGAAACTTATATATCAAAATATTGAAGTATATGTACATGCATACTTAAAAGAAACAAAGTAGAAGCTTAAAACAGAGCCGTATGACTCGTAAAACAGAGCATGATAATAGAGTTATAAGTGGTGGATATTTGAGGGAAGTGAGACGGCACTAGATAATATTTAGTTCAGTTTATTTTATAAAATAAAATTAATAAGAAATTTTGGATTATGAAACATTCCATATAACAACCTCATATATGAACCATGACTAATTATGTTTTTTTTTTTTTTTTTTTTTTTTTTTTGTTAAAAGTGAATCTTTAAAAACATAGATTTGAGAATCCAAAGATAATTTTTTCATACTTAAATTAATAGTTCATTCAAGTAAAATTAAACATAATATATACATATGATTAGAATAAAGTTTACTAAAATTCAACTAAACATAATTTTTTTTTTTGGTATCATCAACTAAACATATTGAGGCAACAGTAGTGAATATGTTTTCTTCTCTTCCCTTGTATCTTCTTTACCCAGCTCCTCTCGTCTTTTTTGTTCCTTGAACCTCTTTGCCTCTCTAGCATTGATATCTCGAGCTCCAAATGTCACATTTTTTCCAATGTTGAAGTAGAAATCACTCAAGTCTGTCTTCTTTGTAACCTAGTAGAAGATGAAAACAAAGGAATATCAAAGAGTTGACATGAGTTTAAATAGTAACAAAAATAGAACTTGGGAATTATCCGAGTAAGCACGATATAAGGAAGGAGGAAATAGAACTTACATCATCTTTTTCTTCTAGAAGTTCAAGCAATCTTTCTTGTGACAGCCATTGTTCTCGTTCCTCTAGTTTCCTTTTATAGGCACCAGTAACAATCTTTACTTGATCTGGAAAAAGATGTTGGTCTTTGGCCCTCTCTTTGGCAAGCTTTCTTTCATAAACTATTTCACGTTCTTTCTGTCTACGGTCAGCCTGTTTCCTCAATAGCTGGGCATATCTTGACTTGGGCTCTTCACAATCATGCATTCGTGGAAGATATGCTTCTTTTTTCAACTGATCATAAACTTCATCGTAAGCATAAGCACAAGGGTCCTCCTCCAAGGCTTTCTTATGCTGCTCCTCAATCTATAAACACAGAATAAACAACCAAATCAATATCAAGCATATAAAATTGAAGGAAATCTCTTAAGAAATTTAAGAAACAGAGTTAGAGTGATGGTAAAAGAAACGTACTCTCTTAAGACCCTTGGTCTTTGAAGCTTGTCGAGAAATTTCCATATCCACATCGTTGTCTTCATCTTGACCAAATAATGGAGCAGTACGAAGTGGAGGTCGAACTGATGATTGCCTTTTCATGAGTTGCAACCCGTACTTCTTCGTCATCTTCATTGTCATTCCCAGAACCACAGAGTTAAATTTCAGAAAAATTAGGGCAGAGATCGATCAGCAATGAGAAGATTTGGCCCAAACCCTAACAGACTCCAACCAAAAACTAGTCGATCGGAAACTTGACAGAATCGATTAGGCTTCCGAATCTAATGACTGATAGGTGTGAGGAACAAGGGATGCAAGGAAACAATACGGAAGAAACTGAAAGATGACAAAGATAACAGGATAAAACAATATACGTTATGTCCAGTCCTAAATATACTACAAATTTCCATTCTTCTTTGTCTAGTTAATATTAGAAATTTTCCATTTTTTTTTTTTCAAATATTAAATATAGGACTTTTCTTTTTATAATAATAATATTTTTCTGTTTCAAGCTGCCCAAAGGAGATCCTCTTAAAATCAATTGCTATTGCAATGCCGGTTTACACGATGAACTGTTTCAAGCTGCCCAAAGGTATATGTGAAGATATAGAACGTGTTATCGCTAACTATTGGTGGAATTCTCATCCGGATAGCAACTCAATACACTGGTTAGCGTGGAATCGAATGAAATATTCAAAGAAGGAGGGTGGCTTAGGATTCCGAGACATGGAAAAGTTCAACGATGCACTCCTTGCCAAACAAGCTTGGAGAATCCTCCAAAACCCAGATTGTCTAATGGCTAAAACTCTTCGCGGCAGGTATTTTTCACAGTCAAATGTTCTCAATGCAACTCGGGGTTACAGAGCATCTTTTGGATGGCAATCTATCCTCCATGGGAGAAATCTGCTTCGTACGGGCTTACGTTACATAGTTGGGGATGGAAGCATGATCCAAACATGGAAGTATAATGTAAAATCGGGTTATTGGCTTGGCACTCATCTTCCAAACCCAGATCCAGCCATTCTGCCTCCAGGAGATCCGCAGCTGAAGAGTCAAATCTGGAATTTAAATACACCACCAAAAATCAAACATTTCCTGTGGAGAATGCTGTCGAGAGTTTTGGCTGTAAGTACTGAACTTGAAAGAAGACATATTGTAACGGATAGCTATTGCCGCAGATGTGTCACCATGCGTGAAACGACGGATCATCTATTCTTCACTTGCTCACATGCCTGCCAGATTTGGAGAGCTTCAAGCATCCCTTTACCATGCTTATCTAATCCCCAGGTACCATATGAGACAAAAATCAAAGAGATTTTTGAATTTCATAAAAATGCAGGGAAAGACACATTACAAGGCCAGCTTCCCCTTTTGATCCTTTGGAGAATTTGGAGAAGTCGTAATAAACTGGTTTTCCAAAGTCGACAAAATGGTTGGTGGCGAGACCTTAGAGATGCTTCTCATGATGCGGAAGAATGGATAACGCATGGTCTTAACAACCAAAGCTCCACCACGTCAATGACCTCGGCACCAAGTTGTCCTCATCAGAGACGTTGGAAGAAGCCACGGCCGGGCTGGATCAAATGTAACTACGACGGAAGCTTTGTGAATCAAAACAATGGCGCTACAACAGCTTATATCATAAGGGATAATAGCGGAGTGTATAAAGGCGCAGCCCAAGCAACAGGTGTGAATGTTACCTCAGCTTTTGAAGCAGAATGCCAAAGTCTTATTCTTGCTATGCAACAATTATGGGTTAAAGGTTACATAAGGATTATCTTTGAAGGCGACTGCAAACTTCTAGTCAATGTTTTGAATGGAAGCACTACAAAGTTTGATGCCATTAATTGGATTCAGGAAATCCAAGATTGGGGTAAAAAGTTTGAAGCAATTGAGTACTCATGGGCTCACAGATCAACAAACCAACCTGCGGATATTTTAGCGAAGAACCAAAGGAACGCCTTGTCTTCTTACTTAGTTCATTTCTATATCCCTGTTTGTATTTCAAATGCTCTGTTCTTGGATTACATTGGCTCTGCCTAATAAAATGCAGTTCGTGTTAAAAAAAAAAATAATAATAATATTTTTCTGTTTAAACCTTCGATTGCACTAAATCAAAAGTTTTACAAATCTCGATTGATCACACACTCAAGAGTTGTTTTATCTTTCTATCAATGGTCCAAATGCTTTACATTTTTTCTTGACTTTATTTTGTTGTATTAAATCACCTCACATAAACCTCTAAACTTCTAGAAGGTTTTCCCACATGGCGGCATATAATAAAGTTAAACTTAAGAGAAAAAGATTTTTTCCCAAAACAGATGTTAAAACCTTAGGGTAAAAAATATCATTTTACATGCTCAAACTCAAAGGAAGAGGCTTTCTTGGGCTGAAATTTTCAATTTGTGGCTAAAATTTTCAATTTTCAATTTACATTATTAGGCATTTTTACACTAGGTAACTAAATCATAAGGGGATTGGTAAATGGTGAACCCAAAGAAAATTTAAACGGATGGTGAATCTTAAAAATGCATATATGATATCTCTGTGAAGGATATTTTGATCCTTTATAGTGTCTGATATCAAAGATTCTGATCAGTGGACTTAATCGCGAAGGGTGTCTTGATCAACGAATTTCAGATCCGGGTATAATATATATACGAGAACTGACAAATTAATATAAAAAATGATGATATTGAAAAACATCAACAACTTTAGACGTCTATGAAGTTTCATCTAAGAGATGATAGCCAAGAACGACAATCTCATCTATTTGGGATTGATTCTAGGGATGATAACCCATTAACGAGTAAAGTTTCAGTATATATCCAAAGCGGTGTGGAAATTCACTTCTTCATTGTTCTTCTTAAAATTTGGTTATAAATGTGTTGATGTATATATGTCTGGATTTACTTATCGTATTATACAGACTTTGGTTTTCAATATAAGTAAGTCAAATGATCACGACATATACCAATTTTATCGATCAGATGTTGACACGTGTAAGAAAAAAGATTTGTTTATTTACATATTGTAGTTATTTACATGTGTACATCTAATTTTTTTTTAACTTTTTTCTTAACCAAAAAAGAAAACTAACAAGAAAATAGAAAATAAAATATATTAATTAGTTATCTACATGTGTATATCTAACAAATTTCTAACTTCTTTTTCTTAACCAAAAAAGAAAACTAACATGAAAACGAAAAAAGTTACGTGGGTTACTATTGGTCAATTAGATTTTAACATGTATCAAAATAATTTAATCCATTTAGCATGGATATTGAACAATAAATAATGAATTTTGAAGTTTTAAATAACAATATAAACTATTTAACATGGGACGAAAAAATTTATTTAACATTAATTTAATTTTAAAAGGTTGTATTTGTGATATTATTGTAACTTTATTCAAGAGTGAAAACACAAAAAGAAAAAAACTTTTAAAAACAATGATGAGCTTATAAGAACGAATTTTAGATTACTTGGTAAGAAATGAGAATGTTAGTATATTTTATTTATGTTTCATTCATAAATTTTAATGAATTAAAAATATTAAGTTAGGATATTACAACATATAAAAAAAAAAACTTTTTCAAAAAAAGTTTGAACTAATCATTTTTTAAAAGTAATTCTGTTTTGTTAAATTTTTAATACTAATTAAAATATAGAAATTTGATATGATGCACATATTATTTTTGATATACACTTTTTACTTGTTCTAATCTAGTTGTCGTCGAAAAAAAAGAAAGTTGGTGTATCGTGGATTTGTCCATTCAATTTGAAATCAATGAATAAATCTATACTATTAATTGGGAATCACTAAATATTAAATAACCTTACAAAGGATAAAATATTACATAAGATGCCATTGGTTTTTTAGTATTTTTAAATAAATTCATTAAGTGTACAATAGTAATCAAAAAATTAATATATTTAAATAAGAAAAAGTAAAATTCTTTTAAGTAATTATTAGTTTCCAAAATAATAAACTCACTTTTTCTCTCTTATCAATTATGGACGAAAATTTGAAATTAATTTCTAAAAAATTGTTAACCAATGAGAATTGAAAAACTAAGATTTGATATCCAACTAAGATTTTATCTAAACCAATCCTAATAGACTATTCTATATCAAAAATAAAAATAAAAATGATATCATTTTAATTCAAAATTGAAAACACTATCGTTCAAAAGTTTTATCAATAGATGATTTTAAGATTGAATTGAAATTTCGTAAAAAGTGAAATACAATAATTTAACATTCAGTTTTGTTAGAATATTTTCACAAATTTTGAAATATAAAACGAAATTTTACACAATTTCTAAAAAACGATATTCCATATTAAAAAATATTTATATTTACTATGAAATAAACTCAAATAATATTAAATTTAAAGTAATTATCATTATGGCCTTCGTTTAGAATTTTCAAAAATATCTAAACAATAGATTGTGCATATTAATTTCAAAATATTATGTGTTTTATTTTTCCTTTTCAACCGGATATTCCTTAAATAAATCCATGATTTATTCCACAATGTTTTCGAAAGAATGTGAACTAATTATATATTGGGGCTTTTGCAAAAATGCCACTTTTTCAATGCCACTTTTCAAAAATATCCCTTTTTTAAAACCTTATAAAAAATGCTCTTAAAAATATAAGATTTACCCAAATATGTATGTAATATTATTAAAACATACACAAACTACATTTCTATGTATCTAAAATCTTATAAGTACTTTATAAATACCTTATAAATGCATTTTAAATACCTTTAAAAACCTTTAAAATATCTTGTAAAACCTTTGAAAAACCTTAAAATCCTTTAAAATAACTTGTAAAACCTTTAAAAACACCTTATAAAACCTTATAAATACTTGGATCGAGTCTTCAAGTAGTAGTTACAATCCATAAGTACCTTATAAACCTAATAAAACTTTATAAAAATTTCAGATTTAAAAAGGGGCATTTTTGAAAATGGACATCTAAAAGGGGCATTTTTGAATAGGGACACACCAAAAGGGGTATTTTTTAACAATTTCTCTTATATTATATATTTTGCATTCAAAACAAATCATGCAGCAATAGCATATCCCTTTTATAGATGTATATCAAATTTTTATTTTTAGTCCAAAAATCGAATTAATTATGATTAAACAATGAAAAGAAGAAGAATATGCAAGATTTAGCAAAGGAAAGAAACATTAATAAATTTGTTAAAATACATTTGTAACTTTAACAACATATATATTAGTCCGCAAAACTCACAGTATATATTGTATGGTATTTACAGGTAAGCAAACAAGAATTTGGAACATGATTTTAATGTAATGAAATGGGAGTAGGAAATACGAGACGGGATTGGAGGGAAACATATATTAAAAATCAACTAAATACCCAACTGGTATGAGTTCGGGTTATGAACACTACAAAAAATAAATTTGTTTACACACATAACCTTGTACGTACGTTTTCAGTTACACATATTCTATTTATGACGGATACGGGACCGTAATATTTTTATTTCACGTATACGAGACGGGTTATGGGGCGAAGAATTTATGACAGATATAAGACGGGATAGGTTTCCCGTTCCAAAATAGTTACGCCTAGCTAATATACATTAAATAAACCCAAACTAAAACCGAATCCATATCCTATTTAACACATGTAATCAAATTGTTAGAAATGTTTTGATTAGTTTAGAAAATAAAAATATAACATCACTTAACTTTTGCAACTAAATTATACCTTAATTTAATGTTTAAATATAATTTCGCACGTTCGTGTAGGTCTGAATCTTAAAATATAATTATGCACTAACTCAACTGAATTTTGTTCATTACTCTAACTTTATAATATTTATACTATTACGAAGTTCACTAACACAATAAAATAATTTATATTTTTAAAATCTATATAACAATATGTTTCTATAAAAATATCTCTACACGTACTTGTGGATCCAGATCTAATACACTAAAATAGATATCATAAACATAACAAAATAATCTGTATTTAATTAAAATTTGTTAGAAATTATTTTAAAATATGAAACCCTGCACGTATGTGCGGGTCAAGATCTAGTTAATTAGAAAAAGGGAATCTTCCGAATCGAAAACGTCACATAGTTTTATCTGAAAAACAACACGCATGTTATATCATTTTGAATGAGAATCATATTCACTACAATTTTTCCATTTGTTTTTATGTCTTAAAAAAATAGATTTTTTTCATTTTTGAAATTCCATTTTCTATTTTCAATAATTAAAAATATTGGAAGTTTTTTGCTTATAATAATAATATTTTTTTATTTAAACCGGAATAAATCATGGTTAAAATCACAATCTAATATCAAAAATAAATTTGTAATTAAAATTATGTTTGCATGTAGGTATTTTAAAATAAAAAATGACTGATCAATATAATATTTGTAATAAAAATATTTTTCCTTTTTGTTTTACAGTAGATAAAATGTCTTGTATTAAATAAATATTTATTAAAGTCATCTAAAAATAGAAATGGTAACAGTTTAAAAAGAAAATCCTAGTAAAAACAAAAAAGCCTATAAGTTCATAGTAAAATAAATCTAACTAGATTTAAACCCGCAGTACACCGCGGGATAATTTATTTTTAAAGTTAGTATAAGAATAATTTTTAAATTGTATCTCCTTATAAAATATTTATTTATATTATAGTTTACAATTGTTATTAAGTAACGGTATACCACGAGTCAACGAGACAATTATTAATAAACTGAGGATTTAGCCCGTATTAAAGCGGCATGTTAATGATATTTATAAATATTGATTCAAATTTGTCCGCCATATAAACCCGTTCCAAAATATAATTCGTTCCGTAATTTCTTAACCCGTCCCGTGATTTATTTTTATTTTAAAATTTAATGATTATTTATTAAATATAAAAGTTTACAAATCATATCATTCTCTAAGACATTTATATTTTAATAAACTGAAGATTTAATCTGTATTAAAGCGGCATGTTAATGATATTTTAAAATTTTATAAATATTGATTCAAACTCGTCCACCATATAATTTCGTTCGGAAATATAACCCGTCCTATAACTTCTTATCCCGTCCCGTGATTTGTTTTCTAAAAGTAGTAATTTTTAAAATTTAACGATTATTTATTTTGGAGAATACCTTCAGAATTTGATTCTTCAGCCTTTCCATGGATTATCTGGTATATTTGGAAAGTAAGAAATGAAAAAATCTTTGAAAATATTGACAAAGATCCGTTAGAGGTATTACGGTTAGCGGAAAAAGAAGCACAATTGTGGCAGTCAGCCCAAATCGAGCTTCATTATGAAACTAATGGTATTGTGGATTTGGTAAATCGTTCTCGAGTGGGGGATGCTTCACTTGATTCGAATTATTGTGGATGTCGTTGCTTTGTGGATGGATCGTGGAAAGAAAGTGATAAGTTCTCCAGTATCGGATGGTTCTGTATATCATCAACAGGAGAGCCGCCAACCATGGGAGCTGCCAACCTCCGTAAAAGTCTATCTCCATTACATACAGAATTCGAGGCTCTTCTCTAGGCGATGAAGTGTATGATTGGTGCAGATAATCAAGAAGTACCTTTTCTTACAGACTGTTCTGATCTGGTGAAGATG